GATTATTTCTACCTCAACCAGGTAATCTGTGACATAGATTTCCAAATGAATTGATAAGTGCTGTATGTCTGATGTTGTGTTAGAGATCAAAGAAAACAAAACAGATTGTACCTTTCCTTGTGATATTTTGAGGGACTTTGATTATGGGGCTCTTTTCACAGCATAACTTGAAAATTGAAGATGGGGAGGATCTCCGGCATGACTTTGAAAGATTAAAACAAGCCATGGAGATGGTTGGCTTTCTTTCAGCAACAAAGAAACAGTAAGTAGAATCCTGTTAGCCTTTCTTCCAGACAGCTAGTTAATGATCACGACGTGCACTAAGCGGTACGGGTGATACAGCACAGTCCTAGATGATCTAGCCCACTAGAGGTGGAGAGAGTTGAATGCTTGAGAGAGTCTGTGAACAGCGTTTTCTGTTTCCTGAGGTAGAATTAGATCTGTTCAACTGTTACAATGCTAAAAGAAAATTATAGTAAAATCTTTTTTTTTTTTTTTTCCTTCCTTAGGATATTTTCTGTGCTTTCGGCTATTCTTTATTTGGGCAACGTTACTTACAAGAAGAAAGCTACAGGTCGTGATGAAGGGTTGGACGTAGGACCCCCTGAAGTGTTGGACATTCTTTCCCAGCTTTTAAAAGTAGAGTATTTCTCTTTAGCACTGATGTATAAAACAACTTCTTGTCATGTCGAACCTCAGGAATTTACAAGTGTTGCGCAAATTTGCTACGACTAAATTTAGTTTATGATACTCCCTCAATTTTTATCTTATGGTAGAGGAAGTGGATGTGACTGGTGAAGTTACTAGGGTTAGGAATGGAAAAGGAGGGAATATAGACCATAATATGTAAGTAACATTTGTTGCCTAGTGAACTGAATGAATGTAAGCTGAAAATAATTCAAAGCTGAGGAGCTTGTGAAGTTATAGCTGAGTGACAACTGAAGCTGTTGTCAAAGTGCTCGACCTTTTCTGAAATGGTAATGTCCACTGCTGCCATCAGATGAACCACTGGGTAGTTACTGGGTGGCATTAACTCTTGTTCTTGCTTGTTTTGAAGGTCAAACGAGAAATTTTAGTGGAAGTGCTGACAAAAAGAAAAACCGTGACAGCTAATGATAAGCTTATTTTGCCATATAGTCTCAATGAGGTGAGTGTGAAAGAACACTAGAATTATTTTAATGTTATCCTGCTGATTGTTCTGGGACTTGGGGGAAAAAAATAGCTACAAAAATTACAAATCCAGAAAAAAGTCGCACAGAATAACAGAATGGTTAAGGTTGGGAGGGATCTCTAGAGATCATCTGGTCCAACCCCCCTGCACACGCAGGGTCACCCAGAGCACGTGGCACAGGGTGGCATCCAGGCGGGTTTGGAAGATCTCCAGAGGAGGAGACTCCACAGCCTCCCTGGGCAGCCTGTGCCAGGGCTCTGCCACCCTCACAGTAAAGTTCTTCCTCATACAGAGATTAAACTTCCTGTGCACCAGTTTACACCCTGTCCTGTCACTGGCCACCACCAAGAAGAGCCTGGCCCCATCCTCCCTGCAATCACCTCTCAGATACTTGAACATGTTGCTCAAATCTCCCTATATAAAATTTTGCCCTAACTTTGAAATGTCTAATTTCTGTAGCGTAGCAATAAGGTTTTCACTAATGAAGTATAATGGATTGTATGTCAAACTTCCACGTGAGGCTAGGCTTTGAGTGACACTAGTCTGAAATAGAAATGCTTTTTAGAAGTGTGTTATGAGCTTTGTTTCATCTGCAGGCAATAACAGCTCGTGATTCAATGGCAAAGTCCCTGTACAGTGCTCTGTTTGACTGGATTGTTCTGCGAATTAATCATGCGCTCCTTAATAAGAAGGACATGGAGGAATCTGTTACAGTAAGTTCTTCACTAAAACAAGCCTTTGTACACAATCGCATATTTCGAGCTATCAAAGAGCTACAGATGGCATGTTCAGACATCTGCCATAAATTTTGATCCTTTTGAAGTCTGTATTAAATTTCTTACTAATACTAAATCACCTCTGTTATCACAATAGATGTAACTGTTAAATATTTGAAATCTGTTAGTGTATCCTGCAGTGCTTTCTGTAATGGTTAGCTGTTGCAGATGAGGTAACTGTACCGTCGATTGCGTAATTGGGTTTCCTCATCCTCTTCCTCTAGTGTTTATCCATTGGCGTGCTTGATATCTTTGGATTCGAAGACTTCGAAACCAACAGTTTTGAACAGTTTTGCATAAACTATGCAAATGAGCAGCTTCAGTATTATTTCAATCAGCACATTTTCAAATTGGAGCAGGTAAGAAATTAGAGTTACCAAGGTAAAAATTCGTATTTATCAGGGCTTATCTGTTATGCAAACTTAGAATCACCTTTCTGCAAACCTCACAGAATTGCTTGAGGTTTATTTCCGAAAGCTTACTTCTCAATTTCTTTGCTTTAACGTAGCTTATTATGGTGGTGTTTGAAGGTGGCAATTTTGTTGTTTTTAGCACTCCACTTATACTAATAATAGGTAGTTCTTTATTTAGAGAGTTTCTGCTTGACTGCAAGAAACAAAAAGGCATTCAGGGAACCCCAGGCATCAGGGAGATGAAATTGCAAACTTGAGATTGAAAGCCTGTAGGTGAGGTATTTGTTTTGTTCTTTTTCCAAAGTGTTGGGACATGGTTTATCCTATTTTTGTCAGTTAGTAAATATTTAATAGCCAGGCTTTGTTGCTTCTTGCACCTGCCTTCATTCAGAGGGATACAACTGTGTGCTGGTCTTGGCAGAAGTTCTCATATCCTGCTATTACTGGCCTTTTTGATATAGTGGCTTGCAGATAGTGCCATCTTCTTGCAGAGTGCTTGGGAGCTGCTAGAGAGCCTGTTTCTAGAGCGATCCCCTTGTCAGCCTCTTGAAAAGAGGCTGTCATTTTGTGGTACGTAGTATTTTGTCAAGGATAAGTATATAACTCTAAGCAAGCATTTTAAAGAGAAGAAAATTACCAAACATACAAAATTCACATACAAACGTAATGTTGAGCTCCCTGTTTTGTAACTCACGATACAAGTGGTTCTCCAGACTAGCTAGAGTAAATAGTTATATTGTTTTCTTTTTCTAAGGCTATTTTTCCAAATAAGCTTAATCCTTGAATAGCCCATTTCCTGTATCTCTTTCTGCATGAGTGCCCTCAGGGGGATTCTGTGTATCTTTTAAAGAAGGGGTTTATTGTTTGTGAAAAATGGTATTTCAGTTCTGTAGTGTGGTATGAACACCATTCGTTAAATGGATTTATCTACTTAAAAATAGCCCGTTCTTATCGTCATCATATAGAACACTATGAGAGGTTTTTGTTTTTTTTTCTTTTGCTAAATATAAAACTTAGTTCAGTTAATTCTCTCTGGGATATCTTTTTTTTTTTTTTTTTAAGTTTGTAGCTTGTCATTAGCTTTTTCCTTGGACATTTGCAACGTTAAGAGAAGCTGGTATTTCAGTTCCATATCTTGATGTGAAGCGTTTCCTGTCAAGCTGTCAGATGCCCTGTCATTTCAACACAAGACCTCTGTACACTTTATCAGAGAGCTCTACGCTTTCAGGACCTAAGCAATAAGCATTACTTCCTGGGGAAGTTTCTGCATTGGTATTTTGTAGAACTTAACTGCCTCTTTTGAAACTTATGTTATTTCCTCTGACAGTACAGTTTGGAAATTTTGGAGCTTAACATTAAATAATTGTCATTTCTTTATAATATAAAGACTATAGTAGAGAAAAATAGGCTTAGATCCCTTGAAAACATGTCAGCTTAGGCTTTTAAATGTGCTGTTGTAGATATATGGTCTGACTACCAAGTGTATATAGACTACTGATTGCTAGCGAGGCACGACAGGGGAAGGATTATTCCCAATGTTTTGTTTTGTAAACAGTTTATACTAAACATCTGCTGTGGAGTGATTTGCCTAGGTGGACCTTTGATCAGAGCCAGCGTGCCTGCTGTTCCGTTCTTATTTATAAATTTTCTGTATTTATGTTTCTGCTGCCTGAACTAACACACTCAACTTACCCTAGCTTTTCCAGAATGTCTTTTAAGCAGTTAGACCGCAGGACATTAAAGGTCAGGACGCTGTTCTCATGAGGAAATTTTCTTGAGCTACACAGGAGGAATATAAGAGTGAAGGGATCAGCTGGCACAATATTGACTACACTGATAACGTGGCCTGCATTCACTTAATCAGCAAGAAGCCCACTGGCCTCTTCTATCTTCTGGATGAAGAAAGCAAGTAAGCATCAAATATCTTTCAAAAAACCCTTGTGTGGCAGGGAGGAGGGAAGGACTGTGGATAGTGGGAGGAAACGGCAATACAGCACTTGCAAAATAAGAGGAATGTTGTGGGAAGGGGCACCTCCCAAGTATGATCTGGTTTGTTTGTTATGTTTTCAATATGGTGGTAGTGCAAATTGATGCTAAGAATAATTTTTGGCTTAAGCAAATTCAGAAAAAAATGTGTTTTACTGTGCAATTAGTATTAAATACATGTGTATGAACCTTTGGCACAGGAAGCAACTAAATGTGGTAATTCAGACAAAGGTTTTTTCTCTAAGGATCAGTATCTGTTCTTCTTGTGACATTTTTCACCTCAGTAATCTGTATTTGGTGAATAGCTAACCCTCTTTTGTGTTCCTAGTTTTCCACATGCCACCAACCAAACCCTACTTGCAAAATTCAAGCAGCAGCATGAGGAGAACAAGTTCTTTGTTGGAACCCCAGTGATGGAGCCTGCTTTTATCATCCGCCACTTCGCTGGGAAAGTCAAATACCAGATAAAAGTAGGTGGTAGTAGGTGATCGTGAAAGAAATTTCTTTGATTTGTGTGGGTATGGAGGACTTGCAGAGGATGGACTAGTTCAGGTGTGTCCTGGGTGCGTTTGAGATGTTTTTTGTTACAGTCTTGGATAAAATGCTCACTGTAGCGGGAATTACTTAGAGTGATGAATTACTCTGAGCAGTGATGACTCTCTCGGCTTAAAAAACTCTTCTGGACTGTGTCTGTTACCTGCTTTGCTGAGATCTCGTCATTCAGTGCTCCTGTTTTGCAGGATTTCAGAGAGAAGAACATGGATTACATGAGACCGGACATCGTTGCTTTACTGCGGAGCAGCGACAGCGCTTACGTGCGGGAGCTGATAGGGATGGACCCGGTGGCCGTTTTCCGCTGGGCCGTTCTCCGGGCCGCGATCCGGGCCATGGCCGTCTTCGCGGAAGCTGGGCGCCAGAGAGCCCAGAGAACCGCAGGTACAGGGGAGAAACCTTCTGGGAATGCTTGCAAATGTAGCATCGCTGATTAGTGCTTGTTGACAGAACTAGTTTATTGCAACAAGTTTAGCATGCAAATGAGCATTGAAGTTGAAAGTTTAATTTGAAAGGTTTTTCTGAGCAGCTGCAGCCTAGTTAGGTTCCGAAATTACCTACTACTACAAAGTGAGTGATCTAGCTTTATAACAAAAATACTGGAGAAAAACTCCAGGCCCTTGGGCAGATATTTTGCTTGTTATAATTGGTGGATTTTTTTCTATTATCTTTGTAGCTTTGTTAAAATTCAACCTACTGATTGTTTTGTAATAGGAGTGGTGCGCCAAGGACCTCGAGTTCCCCTTGGAGAGCTCCAGAGAGCAAATACACCAGTAGAAAAAGTTTACCGGTGAGAAAAATGTATCCATCCCTTATCTTGTGGCTCTTCTAGAACTATGGATAATATCCAAGCATAACAAGGCTGACAACACATGAGCTGGGAAAAAAAGGCCTGATTGCTGAGTCACATTTTCATGTATCAAATATCAGCTAGATCCTTCCACAAGGATGGCAGGTTTTATTTCTTCCCTGTCTTGTTTTGTTTGACCCTTTTAATACTATCAAAACCATACTCAGCTCTGCTTTATGTAAGATCCAGTGCTACTAAATACTGCTGGCACAGTCCGAATCCCATTCACCACTGGGTTTCTGAATGCTCCTTTCTGAATATATTTTGTGTAAGTTGCTGCTAGCATCATGTGTTCCTGTGCAGCTAGTTTATGATGAAGGATTCATAGGAGCACTCATTTTTTTCCAGCCTTCTTATTTCTAGGAACATGGAACTGGCATGATTAGGAGGCAGAGCAAGCCTGACCAGGCTCCAGCTTTGCTCTCTGTAGGCACACCTGCCTTTCAGTGGAGTATTTAGGTTCTGTGCATGTTCCTTTTGCAGCTGCTCAGTGCTTGATTTCTCATTTGATTGTTCTGAGGATTTCGATATAAATACTTTTGAAGACATCATTTCTTTTTATGAAAGCAAGAAGTAAGTAGAAATAGGCTTGGACTTAAAGGCCAGGGAGGCACATACCTGGACAAGCTGGCCTTCTGAGCATGCTCGGTGCGAAAGCAAAGCCTTGAAGTTTAATAAGCATAAAGTAATCACTTCATACAACTTCCTAATTACTGCATTCAGGACAGTCTCAGCTGCTTGTGGCAGCTGAGAACTGAAGGTGCAATTCAGGCAAAAGGGTTGGTTGGTGTAACACACTGTTTCCTTTGCAATATCTTGCAACAAAAAGTTGATATTCTAAAAATATTCAGTGTTACTGGGAAAACAGGCAACTCTGTATTAGTGTTGCTGCTGCCTCACGGAGCAGCTCAGAATGGTGATTGCATTTTACAGTCAGAAGTGACTCTTACACTTCCATTATCTTTGGTTTGTGCCTCTCTGGAGGGTAAAGAAGGTAAGTTCTGTGCCAAGGCACAACACTCGCCAAGCATGGTGCATGCTTCAAATAATGGAATCTTTCACTAATTAGGGACCATCCCAGGCTTACTTTGAAAAGCTAAACACGTGTAAATAAATGATCAAATTGCATCTTAATGAAACTTCAAGGAATTTTTGCCACATCCACTTTCTACTATACTCTTCTGATGTGAGTTTGCTAAGCAGGCTCATTGCAGTATTCAGATACATTCAGTCTATTCAGGAAATATTTAGCACTAGATCACAAAGAAGCTGTATCTATCCGAAAAGGCTACTTGGCTTAACAAAAAGTTTCCTTGCGTGTTAAGTACTTTTTGTTAAATTCGTTTGCATTTAAAATTGAGGGCTCAAGAATTGACACAATGAGGTAGAATTGGAAAATAATTTAGTATCTGACACTGATATTAAAGCGTAGGGCACCAGCAGGGCAGAAATGCTGACTTGAGATCAGAATAATTCATTTTTAGGACAAAGTAGTCTGGGATTGGCCTGCTACTGTTTGGAGCACACATGGTGATGGGATCTCTTGTTTTGTAACTCCTCTTTTCTCCCTCATGGCTGTGTGTCTTTGTTTGCCATCTTTGTTTTGCTGTGAATCATTTTAGAGACATGCATGAACAAATCATCGCGAGTATTAAAGGACTTCCATGGCAGGGTGATGACCCATGTAAGCTGCTTCGGTCACTCAGTCGACTTCAACACCGCTCCCACTTCATGTGAGTTCTGGTGCTAGGTATTGCTTTCAAAGAGCAGCAGTAATCAACTAATTATTCTAATTCGTTTTTAAAAAAGTGTTCTGTTCCCAAACTTGTCTTCTGCAAAACCCAAACAAGACAACTACAAGCAATATATTTCCTTCAGAAGATATCAAGCCTGTAGAGAATGCTTTGTTTGCATTAGCTGATGACTAAGCCTACTCTTCATGTAAATTTGTTCTAAAACTCAAGAGCATAGTACAAGTTTGTTGATATGAATGTGAAAAAAAATCAATAGTGTGATGCATGGAGTTGAAACATGCCTTATGTTAAGGAGCTGACACACTTAGGTTTAGGAGGATGTGAACTGCAACCTTGTTTCTGACAACTTTGGGTTATGTTCACTGTGTGGATGGGAGCTGTGCCTGAGGATTTGTATTGCCCCAAGAAGTTCAGAGAACGCTCCCAGATGTGTCAGAATTCCTAAAAGGAGTGCTGGGCACGTGGGGAGCAGTAAATTGCCTTCACGGGGCCTCTCGCTCAAGCCATAATGACTTCTGAGTTGGGTGTTTTTACCTGATAGTGCCTTAATACGGAGAGATTTCAGTGACTGTACAGTTGGCTAAATAAAATAATAACTTTCACAAAAATCAGCCTTTACAACTGTAGTTTCTAACAGCTTTGCCTTCAGATACAATGTTTTATTCTGAAAGCTTGCAGTGCCTTCATTGTTTATTAAAAAAAAATGCGAAGCAGTTTGCATTTCTTGCATTGATCGCTTGTAAGACAGCCTGTGCATGAGTATACCCCAGTGATGTTGTGCTCATTTTCTTCTGTCCTTCATCTTGCCTCATAAATTGCACCGACCTGTGACTTGCTGGAATAACCAAAAATCATGTGTTCTTTTTCCTAAATGATTTTTAATATTTTAACAGGAAAAGTAGAGGTATCAAACAAAAGCAGATCACTCCTAAGGTAAAGATATTCAAATAACTCTAGATTTCTCTCGTTTGTTATATTTGCATTGTGAATATTCATTTTGATTGACAGAACTCACTTCAGAAAATGCTGCTTCGTAGTATGGGAACTTCCCTTTTGAGAACCCAAAGGATAGGTAAATGTTCATCCTTGTAAGGAGAACTGAACAAAAGAAATTCTCTTCTGACATCAGTTTAATTAGACTGGATAGGGATGCCATACATATGTAAAACTATTTCTAGTCAAGTCATGAAAAGCAAACATGGTGACTCTGTTGTTCCCCTTGCAGCCTTGGGATGGGGCAGTGAAAAGTTTTCACTCTTGAGGAGATGTTTTAGTGTGAAACACCAAGACATGAAGCATAATGTGTCACTGATTGTGGAGCTAACTAGTTGGCTTCCTCTTTATTAATGTTTACATAGATGGAAATAGTTCCTCTTCACTTAAGTGACTTGTACTTTATGAAAACTTTCTCCTAGAACTTGCTGGACTGCAAGTCTCTAAAGCTCATAGTGAGCATGACTCTGCATGATCGAACCACCAAATCCCTCCTGCATTTGCACAAAAAGAAGAAACCCCCTAGCATAAGTGCGCAGTTCCAGGTAGGTGACTGATGCGGTGGTGCACATCCTGTGGGTGCAATCTAAGCACTCATGTGAGAACAGACCTGCATAGTTGTTCACTCTTCCAGGATATTTGCTGTAATAGGGTTGTGACAATTAGAAACACTGCAATAATATTTTATTTAGTATCTGTTTTTTGCTTAAACATACATTTAGTACATCTAAAAAAATTGCTTTATTCATCAACAATGTAGCCTATTTTTGAAATACCTTGGCGGGAAGGGAAGTTCTGCACTTTTCTTCTGTAGTGTCTTTATAGGGAGGAAAATGGGGTGAATATGTGGCATCTGGGGTGTCCTTTGCTTGAAAGGAAATGTTTTTCACTCTTGGAATTTGCTGAAGGTTTGTTATTGTAATCAAGTTATGCTGTAGTTAGAGACTATCCATGTGCTGTGATGTTAGTTCTGTGTACAACTAGCTTCATCCCTGCATGCAGATCTAGTGTTACCGTAACAGCATAGGCAAATCCCACTTTCCATTAGCTTGAGAAAAGGTGAAACAAATACAGGAATTTTCTGTGCAGTACAGAGGAGCCTCCATATTGGATGAAATAGGATTTGTGTTGGACAAAACAGGATTGGTATCAGACCTTGTGCTCTAAGCAAAGAGCTGTACTGCTGTCAAAATGTCGATACGTGAAGAAAAAATGCTTTTGAATATTTCCTTTCAGACTTCGCTTAATAAATTATTGGAGACACTGGGGAAAGCTGAGCCATTTTTCATCCGTTGCATCCGCTCCAATGCTGAGAAGGTAGGACTGCCTTAAGAATTCATCTGATCGCTGATGCCTCAAGTCTTTCAGGCCCCTCTATAATATATTTTTTCAATGTCATTTTCTATGAAGCTGAAAGGTAACCAGTATATAGAAGTGGAATGCCTACTGGGCAAAAGACAGTTCAGGCAATTACTAGGTGTTGACTTCTGATCTTTTTCAGAAAGAGATGCTTTTTGATGAAAGTTTGGTGCTTCAGCAGTTAAGATATACAGGCATGCTTGAAACTGTGAGAATCAGAAGATCTGGCTACAGCGCCAAATATACATTCCAGGTATGTAAGGAACTGGAAATGGATTAAGCTTTCAGGAGGATCTACAGCTGTTGAAAAACATGCCTTCCTTCTGAGCCTGGTATGAACAGAGACATGAAAGATCCTGCTATATGACAGATGTGACCATTCTGAATGGACTGTAAAAATTCATTGTAGCTTTCACATAGCCTGCATGGTGACAATTTTCAGCCTAAACTATGGTGCAAGTCATCTACGAATAGGCTGTTCTACCTGTTGCATGGAGGAAACGAGTCTGAGCACTGTCATAAATATAAGCAGTCAATGCTATACATTAGTGTCTCTGTATGCAAATTTGTTTTCTGCAAAATACTTTGTGCATGTAACCTCTGTGTGATCCAAAAAGCTATCCATAGAGTACTAAATTTAAATTGAGATTGAATGAAGCCTGTGTTCTACAGAATGGGATAAAGTAGCTTGATTTGGAGGGGAAAATAAGTGCTTTTAAACTCCTGCAGCTCAGGTGGCCAAGCTTGATTTTAGAAATTTAGTTAGAACTCTGGATTTATGAATTATCTTCTAACTTTAATCTCTTGCTTTCTCTGCTTTTCACAGGAATTCATAGACCAGTTTCAGGTGCTACTGCCCAAAAATGCCAAAGCATCTAGGGAAGACATTTTTGCTTATTTGAGTAAACTAAAATTGGACAAAAACTACTATCAAATAGGGAAGACCAAGGTTTGTACAAGTTCCTATAATCAGGGCAATTGTAAGAAACAATAATGTATACTGCCAAGCTTAGTGCAATTCACTTATAAGGTGCTGCTCTTTCCTTCTGTCATTGTCATCTCATAAGTTTTGATGATTTCTGTCCTCTTACAGTAGAGTATAGAATATAATTTCCATACTTCAGGATGTTCCTTCTGGTAAATTTTCTAATTTCTAGTTTTCTAGTTTATAATTTTCTGATTCATTTTCTAGTTAGTATAAATACCTCTAGAAGGTCTCTTACCTGTTTGTCATTGAACTTTTCTATAATTGAGCAGGTTTTCATGAAAGAGGCTGAGCGGCAGAAATTGCAGGATACACTACACAAAGAAGTCATCAGGAAAATCATTCTCCTTCAGAGCTGGCTCAGGATGGTTTTGGAAAGGAGACGTTTTCTCAGAATACGGCAAGCAGCCGTTGTTTTGCAGGTATGTTTAACTGCAAGTTGTCGATTATTCTAAACCCCACCTCAAGTACCTCTTACTAACTGGAGAAATGTCCCTTTCTAGGCTTGGTGGCGTTCCTGTTCTGTCAGGAGGAGACTAGAGAAGAATAATGCAGCCACTTACATTCAGTCAGCATGGCGAGGATACAGGGAGCGAAAATACTACCTTCAGCAGAAGAACAGGATTTGTCTTGTGCAAGCCATGGTTAGAGGACACCTCCAGCGCAAGAGGTAAAGCAGAGCAGCAGTGTGGAGTGCAAATAACCATTTTAGCTGGCTGCTAGGCTAGGCCTGCTGAATTCAGCTCGTGTGTTATGTTGACTTAGTGATCCTGTAGTCATAATTGAATAGCCAATAGTGTGTGAAGACTGGTTAAGCCCTTTGTACTTGAGTATTATTCAGCTGGGCTGCACCGACGTGTGCCAGGCCTAATAACCAGTCCTCATACAGTCATGCTGGGACTGTAAGTATTTTCGTACTCTATTTTGCCATGTAGGTGGTATTTAAACTATAGAGTATTTTTCTTTGCCACTGTGCATTAAATGCCTTCTGTATTCATCTTTCAAATTCTTAATAGGTTTCAGAAAATGGTTATGGAAAAGCAGAAAGCTGAAGAAAAGCAGAGAGAAATGCAGGAAGCCCAAGACAGAGACAATGACATGAGCAAGAATGAGGGCAGTGAAGCAGCAACAGATCAGCTGTCTGTGGAACACGAGTCCGAGCTGGAGGAAGCTGCTGTGGGCGTTGATGAAGCTCAGAATGAGCAAGCTGAACATCTGAGCCCAATTTTGGAACAAGCTGCGTTACCACAGAAGACCGTGACAGAGAGCTCTGAGAAGGTAACAAACAGTCGGGAGAAACGTAAATCTCGCCGGCAGAGGGGGCTGGAACATAACGAGTTACAGAATAAGCATGTCCTGTTTTCCTTCGAGGGACCATCTTTACGGTGCCCGGAAGAACAAACCTCTTCTAAAGGGGTCCCAGAAACTGTTGAAGAGTCAAACAATTCCACAGCACAAGATACTGTCATTCAAGAAAGTTGCAAAGAAAATAAAAGTCCTGGAGAAGAAAACACGCTTTCAGGCCCACCATTATCAAATGAAATAAAAGAAAGTCATTCCATTCCTGAGCAACCCCCTGAATCAGAAGGGGAAAGAGCAGGTCATAAGGCTATTGAGGGAATGAAAATACAAGAGAACCAAAAGCACCAGATAAAAGGCAGCCAAAGCTTTAACTGCCCTGAAAGGCCAACAGATCTTGCACTGGATCTTAGGAATAACCTACCTGCTACGGGAAGCTTTCGAATTCCAGCTGAACGCTGTGCAGACAGAAACAAACCTCAGAGGGCAAACAAAGATCTGGA